TAAATGTTTGTGTTCATACACACCACATCAAAACTTACTAGCCTATCTTCTTCTGAAATTGTCTTCTGATCCAGTAATTTCACAAAATCATACGAATTTTTGATTGAATATAGCCAATAATTGGCAGAGTTCCTTAGTTGTATGCATAAAAACCGTGAGATTTTATGCATCACGCTTCCTTTGTTATTTACAATTAATCTTAGAGGGACACCTTTGTGAACCATAAGACGTGGGAATCCTTGCATCTCTCTGGAGAAGTGAAAAAATGAATTAACTACTCCAGATAGATGTAAGGGTCCACATGGCTTACGGTCTCCCGAAGCTTCACGAAGAGGGTGGCCCTCTAAGATTAATTGTAAGTAATAAAGGAAGCGTGATGCATAAGAAATCACAGTTTTTATGCATACTACTAAGAAACTGCCAATTATTGGCTATATTAAGTTTACTGAACATGAGATAGAATGGTTTCAAACTAGTAGGTTTGCTGATTATGGTACATCGGTGGTTAAAAGAAAAATAATAGAGACTATTGAAATTAATAGCTTAGGAAATACGTTGAATGTGAGGAACTATTGTAGAAAGTTGAGTAACTACTTATGTTCGATTAATAGATACGGACTTACGCAGTCTGGGTCAAGGCTTTCTCTTGGGTCATTAGGTCTTTTCTGTTGGCTCAATTGAGTCTATATAAGAAGTAAGATAGAGCCGGATAGTTATTTTGCTCTGGTGTTAACGTGAGACCTTTACAAGAATGATACTCAGCTCTGATGATGTCCATCATATGATAGACGAAAGCTCAGCATGTTTTCACCCGAAATGAGGGAGGAAGTCTCGTGGACTGCGTGTAACATGAATATCTTATAAAATCCAAACGGCTGCAGTATAACGAGATTCATCCGTCCTCATCTGATAAGATCGACCAACGAATCTCTTCATTCACTTTCACACGAAATGAAAGTCCCCCTAACAATGTTATCTCAAGAGATTCATCGAAACCCAGTTTCTCATCGTATTTAATTTAGTCTATATAAGAGGTAAGATAGAGCTGGATAGTGTTCTTGCTCTAGGGTTGACGTGAGACTTTTACAAGAATGACACCTAACTCTGATGATGTCCATCATATGATGGACGAAAACTCAGCACTAAGGTATGAAGACCAAGATGGTTTGGCCTTTTGTGTGGTCGCAGTCTCCTACTTTGTATAGAAGTTGTTTGACCTTGTTTTCGCAACTCAGTCATATTGGTAGGAAGGCTTAGAGGAACGCACCTAGTCTGGAGTCCATTGTATGCATCATCATTTCCAGAGTATGACCGTGGACATGGTACATTCCCAGACGTTTCGCCGGCATCGTCAGTGAGTCTCGCCATTCGTAACACCATATTACAACTCGTCAAAGAGACTTGTCTCTTGTGTGCCAACCCACAAACGTTGTGGTTCAACATTGAACCTAACCAAAGCAAGCAGTACCACAACATTTGGGGGTTGGCACACAAGAGATTAGCGCATAGCAAGTCATAGACTTGGTATTAGGGATAGAAACAGGATAGACACGGCGGGGACCAGAGCTGGTTTACTGACGGTAGGTCTGTTGTACCAGAGACGTGGTACGTGTAGCAAAGGGTAACGATGACACTCAGAGGCTTGAGCCTCGAATTAGTCACCCGAAGACAGGTGAGGGCGAATATAGCTTCGAGTAGGGCAGATGTTTTGGCAGGAGTCGAGTGAAATAGGTGGACAAGAGGTAGGGCAGCCGGATTTTACGGAGCAACGAGACTGGGATAAGACTAGGGAAGAGGACTGCATAATAATAAAGCAGACTCTGATCAACATTCCCTACACAAGGATGAAGGGGGGGAGAACGACAGTTGGAGTGTGAAGGCTTTATGTCGCTCAAAGGGGCACAACGCTATCTAAATAAACACACGGAAAAATTGTAATAGTGAAGGCATGATAGGATGCTACCGGAAACAGGAATAACCCAGGGCAGAAGGGGAGATACCACAATTGTTTAGCACAAGGATAGGCTTCACTTGTATATTTGACGACTTGTAGTGAGGTGCTAAGGATGGCGATACTCACTGACGATGCCGTCGAAACGTCTGGGAATGTACCACGTCCACGGTTTAACTTTGGAAATGATGATGCGTACAATGGACTCCGGACTAGGTGCGTTCCTCTAGGTCTTCCTACTAATATGATCATGTTGCGAAAACAAAGTCAAAGAACCTCTATATAACGAAAGGAGACTGCGACCACACAAAAGGCCACACCATCTTGGTCTTCATACCTCAGTCATCAAGTTTTGATTACTATCATCACCCTGACTCAACTAGTATTTTCTTTTCTTTGTTCTAATCACGGCTTCTTCTCTGTACGTTTAGCCTACTTTTTCTCTCTCACATTTAAGATAAAAAAGCTCATCAATATAACCTGACTTGTGTCCGCCCTTGCACAGAGTGATTGTTAAGATATATACATAGAGGGGGTTACGTTACGTTTACTGTCGCAATTACTTTGCGTCATCACTGCTGGTTTCGTACATATGCGAACACAGTCACCCTTCAGTAAACACTTTCACTCGAAATGGAAGTAAGCTCAACAATCATGAAATAGATATTTCTTGAAATCCAACTTTTCTTTGCATTTATCTTATTTTACCCCTTTCTGGAGTTTCTTTTTTTAAGCATATTTATAACCCATACATTTTTTTAAGTATTCCTCATATACTCAGTGATTTCTCGAAAAAGATAAGGGGAAACCGAATCAAGCCTCAAATAAATTTATCTAAAAGTTAGTTTCGATTCTCTCAGATTGTGTTGACTTATATAAAGTCTTTTTTATCCCAATTTCCCAGGCACTCGCCTGCTTGATGCAGTCTTCTGCAACAACCGGATAATGCTTTCTCTTATAAGGATTTTCGACTTAATCCAGTTATCTCATTCATATCCCTACTAAATTAGTTTATAGTTAGAGTATATTCTCCTTTTAGATGGACGTATTCAAATATGTCGAGGATAAAGATGTCTTTCAGAAATTCTACTGCAAAACTCTTGCCAGGAGACTAGTGACTAATCAATCTGTGTCTGAGGATGCAGAGGCTTCTATGATTGCCCGTTTAAAAGAGACATGCGGCTACGAATATACTTCTAAATTGCAGCGTATGTTTCAGGATGTCAGCTCCAGTCGTGAATTAAATGCCAAGTTCAACGACAATCTCAAGGCTCAGTCTGCTAGTGGATTGTCTCTTAGAGGCGGTAAGTATTGTGCTTTGCATTTCTGCAATTATACATAAGCCTTATTGAGTGTCAAGATGATCTTCTCTTAAGTGCGGTTATTTCAAAAATTTAATATCCATTCTTACGTATTTCAGCACCTTATGCAATCTAGGATGGCTACTGTTCTTATTTTAATAAAGTGGGTTAACAGGAAGATTTTCTTTCCTTTTAATTTTACGCCCATTCAGAGAGAACTTCGTTTAAGGATCGAGAGTCACTTAGCTGAAATATCTCAAAGATTTTAGCAAAGTTGCTGATATTATTCTCTCCTTAATACATTGCCGATAAGTATGTTTTAACTACTTTAGCTAAAAGCTCATTTTAATGAGATTGTTTTTCAAGAGCACTAAGCGATTGACTAATTTATTTCAGCATTAATTTCTTGTCTAGTGTATTCGCAGCTAGATTATATCGTCTGTCCGAAATCGCTTTTAAACTAGCGTCTGCATACGCAGGAAAAGCAAGTCGGAAGTCTGCTTAAAAAATAATTCGTGTCGGAGGGACTTTACATGACGCCTTTATAATATTGAGTTGCTTTTATAGTCATGATATTTTTTTAAAATCAGCTTTTGTCATATAGGTTTATATTTTTTTTAAAAGAGATTAGATTATATTTTTAGGAGGCACCATAAATTGTTAATCTTGATTTGTTTGCTTTCTGCGAACTTTTGTGATTTTTTTTTAAAGTGTCTAGTTCGCTTAAGCTTAACTTTAGGTAATATTTATGCATATACAATTCTAGCATATTTTCTCACAAACCTATTCAAATTGATATAGATATAGACATGGAATAAGTTAGTTCTCAGAAATTCGTTTGCAGGTTCCTTTCGCCTATATTTTTTTCAACTAAGACATATTTATAGTGAAGCTTCTAAAAATGTACACCTTTCTTTGTCCTCTGCCACTTTTAAATTATACGTCCAAACTTGGGCAGTCGATCAAGTACAATTCTAGATGTCTCGACGAAATCATAATCAGCAGCTTCACAGAGTAAAGCCATATTTAATTTATAATTCAAACGCCTCAGGGACAAGCAAATAAGAGCAAATTGTGAAACGATGTTTAACCAAATATATACTAAATTTGGTTTCCAGTGTTTGATAGTTGGATTAAAATTACCAATCTTCAAAACATGCAGGGCCTTATAAAATAATATAATGCTATTTTATTTTCAACAAGACTTCACATAAAATTAAAAATATCGTATTGATTGCTATTTTTTTATTTTTTATTCAAGCTTAGCCTTCTATAAAGTTTTAATATTTATAGAAGTTTTTTAGAAGTTGTTTGACCTTTTTTTTCGCAAATTGGTCATATTGGTAGGAGGACTTAGAGGAACGTACCTAATCCGGAGTCCAATATATGCCTCATCATTTCTAAAGTAGGACCGTGGATTGCGACCACACAAAAGGCCACACCATCTTGGTCTTTATACCTTCGATTAAATATTTATAGTAGTTGTTTAACCTTGTTTTCGCAACTTGCTCATATTGGCAAGAAGACCTAGAGGAATAAACCTTATTCGCAGCCCATATTATGTATGCTAATTTCCAGGTTAGGACTGGTGCTGACAATGGTAAGACTCACTGACGATGCAGACTACAATGCCGGCGAAACGTCTTGGAAAGTACCAAGTCCACCGTCCGATTCTGGAAATTATTATGCACACTATGGACTCAGAACACGTTGCGTCTCTCTGGATCTTCCTGTCAATATGATCAAGCTGCAAAAACAAGGTCAAATAGCTACTATACATCGAAAGGAGACTGTGACCAAAATAGAGACCACAACCTCGTGGTTTTCTTATCTACGTTTAAATATTTATAGTTACTTACTGCACTTCAGTACTTATTTTAATAAAATTTATCATATGCAGTTCTATGACCTTCACTTAGTCGCTTAAGGTGAATTAAGGCCTAGGATTTAAGATTACTTGAGTTTTATCGCATCTGTTTGGTTAGAGTGGACTGTAGTTTCTACTATCAGTCCTTAAATCGCCTTAAGAGCTTAGGGTGATAAAGCTCTTACTCATGAATTATCGATAATTTCTAAAACTACTTTCGAAAATATCTTCAATAGTATATTGTGACTTTCTAGTCTTTATAACTTCACCAAGGGCCTGGATCAATTTTGAGTCTCCTTATTCTTCATCGATGTACACTATAAAAATTTGTGACTTTCGATCGTTTTTTAATCAATCGGACGCTAAGATAGAGTGGTATTAATCAATAGGCTGTGGAATTACATTTTTTATTAATCTTATTTAAATTTATTTTTTTCTGGATAGAAGAGTATTCTATTTATTAATTTATTTAGAATTCGAAATTTATTCTCGGTTAGTGTATGGCTTTATTATACTTATTTAATTCACATGAACTTGCTATACTCTTAGTGAAGCCAACTTACTCAGCTTCCGGTCCCGGAATGTGCGTTCACTATGGCCATCTCTGGACTATCAGTGAATATGGTATAAAATAAAACTTTTCCTTACTCGGTAAGTGTTTAAAGCTCAGGCTTATAATCAGGCTAAGGTCTATTAATTTCATGATCGAATTTCACTTATCTCAAAGCTAAGAATAGGCTTCTTTATTTTGGGCCTTAGATATTGGCTGGCTTATATATTGGATTTTATTCCTATCTGGGGTTTTGATGAAACTTGAGTAAGGTTAAAAATTCTTCCCCTTTGAAAGAAACGATTAAGTGAAGTCTCATTAAAATATCAAATATTTTTTTGAGCTTATCACCGCCAAGATACCCCTAGAACGCAAGTGGAATTTTATTTTGTCCGATTTTTTTATCACAATCTAATTGCATTTATTATTTTAT